GGAGGAGCAATTTCTGGGCTGGAAGACGAAAAGACTCTGTAACTTCTGGGTCGAACTGACTTCACCAGATTAGGAGTTCGATTGGAGACAGCACTAGATGCAATAGTAGTTAGCTTGACACCAACCTTCAGGCCTGGACGACTTGCTCTGATACCATGTTGAGCAAGAGCAAGTGAAGAGAGGAGAGGAGAAGAGAGAAGAGAGCTGAGTCGAGTGACTGAAAGCCCTCCAGAACATAGGGGGCGAAAGAATGATTTTATTTATTTATACTAGTACAGTCGAACAATATAAACAGAGGAGAAATTACAACAGTACCCTTATGGTACTAAACCTGAATACATAAACAACTGTCAACAGTTCCTATTGCAAAGAGAAAGGGTATTAAATCTTGTACTACCATCCTATCTCTCACTTTGTGTCCTATGATCATATTTCACCTTCATACCGTGCATTCCTTTCCTCTATTGACAGTGTCTCTGTTCCTAATAATGTGGCAGAAGCTTTATCCAAACTTGAATGGACAGATGCAACGAAGGAAGAAATTAATGCCTTACACAAAAATGGCACCTGGGAGTTAGTGGATCTTCTTGAAGGGAAGGAACCAGTGGGTTGCAAGTGGGTTTTCACAGTAAAGCATAGAGCTGATGGTTCAGTAGAAAGGTACAAAGCTAGATTGGTGGCCAAAGGGTTTACACAAGTGTATGGAGTAGACTATGCAGAGACCTTTGCTCCAGTAGCCAAGATGAATTTGATCAGAATCCTCCTCTCACTGGCAGCTAATCTTGACTGGGGACTTCATCAGTTGGATATCAAGAATGCATTCTTGAATGGTGACCTAGAGGAGGAGGTTTACATGACTCAACCTCCAGGTTTCTGTGCCAAAGGTAGTGAGCAGAAGGTGTGCAAGTTAAAAAAATCATTATAAGGGTTGAAGCAATCACCTTGGGCCTGGTTTAGTAGGTTTCATTTAGCAGTAACAGATGGGATTCAAACACTGCCAGTCAGATCATACTTTGTAAAGAAAGGTGAAGGGAAAATTGCAGTTTTAATTGTGTATGTTGATGAAATAGTAATCACTAAAGACTGGAAGACTAAAATACAAATGCTGAAGATATTCCTAGCCACTCAATTTGAGGTGAAAGATCTAGGCCCCTTACATTATTTCCTTGGAATTGAAGTTGCTGCTCAAAAAAGGGCATCTTTATTTCCCAAAGGAAATATGTACTAGATCTATTAGAGGATACAGACAAGTTGGGAGTGAAACCAAATGATTCACCCATTGAACCCAACCATCAACTAGGAGACAGTCAGGGGGAGTGTTTGAAAGATGTGAAGAAGTTCCAGAGACTCGTAGGGAGACTCTTATATTTGTCTATGACTAGACCTGATATTGCCTATGCAGTGGGTGTCCTTAGTCAGTTCATGCATAACCTTAAGACAACTCACTTTGAAGCTGCAGAAAGAATCCTTAGATACCTCAAGAAGTTCCCAGGAGCTGGTTTGCTTTCCTAGAAACATGGGCATTTGAAAGTGAAGGTGTATATAGATGCTGATTGGGCAGGGGCAATCGATGATAGAAAATCTACCAGTGGGTATTGTACTTTTGTGGGAAGAAACCTAGTCACTTGGAGAAGTAAGAAGCAAAGTGTGGTGGCTAGATCTAGTGTTGAGGCAGAATACAGAACCATGTCTCATGGAGTCGCTGAAATGATGGGGATAAAAAACTTGTTAGGAGAATTGGGTTTTGTAGTTAATAAACCTATGTCATTCTACTGTGACAACAAAGCTTCTATCAATATTGCTGCTAACCTAGTCCTCCATGATAGAACAAAACATATTGAAGTGGACAAGCGTTTTATTAGAGAGAAACTTGTGAACGGAGAAGTGTGCACTCCTTATGTTAGTTCAGAGGAACAACATGCAGACATCTTCACCAAGGGCCTTCATCATGTGCGGCATAATAATTTGTGTGACAAGTTGGGCATGATTGACATCCATGTCCCAACTTGAGGGGGAGTGTTGGAATGTTAGTTTTATTTCTTATGTTTGTATTCTGCTGAGTTAGGGTCCGTTTGGACTAGTTAAACCAGTTTTTTTATGCTGAGGTAGGGGCATAAGGGTCCTTTCCCTTCTAATTATGGTCGCCTTATATATATTAATATAAACTGGCGCTGCAAGAGAGGACATCTGTATGGGGAATGGAAGCATTGCCAGATTAACTCATGGAAGGCTAGGGATTAGGGATTTGTATCAAGTATATGAATCAGGGCTCAGAAGTCCATCAACCACTGGATATGATAGTCATATGGTTGCGGGAAAATGCTTCCAAACCTAAGTGCTAATGTGCTACCATGGTGGCCCATAAAATATTGATATTTTCTTTGAGATGATTAATGTTTACAGAAAAATATTTCCTTGGTTTAATTGTACTGTTATTTTGTGAGAGTTTTTTCCAGTTTGATGAATCTCTTCCTTGGTATGGTTTCAAAATCATGATCCTTGGATTGAACTCTTTAATAAATTACATACTTCTCAGCAGCTTAGTTAGAGGAGTAGGGAGAGCAAGTTTTGCGGGGATGATTCACTACCATAATAATATAGTTAGAGCAGGTACTTTGTGGTTGCTGATGTACCTTTGATAAATTTTGTGTTTTAGTATGCCTTTCCTCGAAACATTTGGATCTGGATCCCCTTGTTTCTAGAACTAGATCATTTTACATTTCTCAGATTTTTCATTAATAAAGCTTGTTGATCTGGTTATTGATAAAAAAAGGTTATATGCTTTCAAGATGCTGAATGGATCTGGTAATATATATTAGATTGAAAAGTAACCTCAATGCTATAATGCAGTTCTCTTCCCTTGGTTCTCTAGATGAAAAGTGGATGTCTGAGTTAGCATTGTCAATGTCATCAGGACTTTCTGATGATAAAATGCCTCTGGGTTTGGGGAAGCCCTTGATAGTTTGGCCCACCGTAGAAGATGTTAGATGCTCTTTGGAGGTAAGAAAATCAGCTTTACCATTGCTGATCTCTTTAATTCATTTTAATCAATATGTTTTGGCTACTCCTGGAGACTTTGACATTTTTACATTATGCCATCTAGTATTTGATGGAACTTGTTTGTTTCCCTTAAATTGTGCTTTTTGTAACTCATCTCCTTGTTTAATCCTGCTTCACTACTATTCTCCATCCATGAAACAGGGAATATTCAAGTCTGTTCTGTCAACATATCTATTGTTTACTACTTTTAATATATGAAATTAAATTGTGGTAAATTTAAAGTGTGCAGCTATAGTCTAAACTCTATCAATCTTCTTTTTTGGAAATATCCCAGAAAGTACTAGGTGGAGAGGAAGGATGCCTTAAAATTTCATTAGTTAAAATGAAAAGAAAAATTAAAATTGGGATATCACCCTGTCTTCTCTTCTCTCTCTCTCTCTCTTTGGAGGGGTGCATGAAGGAGGTTCAGAGGCCTTAAGCTTCAGAAAAGGTTGGAAATAAGAGTTGAAGTCAGCTTCAGTCAACAATACAGGGCAGAAAAATAAGTCACAGTAAAAGGTCATACATCCAAAATTACAGTAACCACTTTCACCCAAAGGTGGAATTCTCCTGCCTTGTACAAGAACAGAGACTCCTCTTACATTAGTTGGAAAGTGTTGTTTTTTTTTTTGGAAGAATGAATTTACCTTGGTCTGGCCTATGGGACCAACATTGGGTACTCGCCTTCACTTTCAACAAAACCCTATCCATAAAGTTTGTTTGCTGGATAGCAGTTGCAGAAGAGGAAAAAGAAGAGGAGAGAACAGATCTGGTAATGGGCAGCAATAGTGTCTCAGCCGGCCCTAGACGCTAATATAAATATTTACAATAGGAAGATACATGAAATGACTAGAATGCCCCTGGTTAGTAGACCTGTTCATGGGCCGGGCCGGGTTTGGGCCGGGCTTTTACTGTGTATTAACAAATTTTTTTAAGGCCCGAGCCCGAGCCCGGCCCTCATAAAAAGCCCGAAGCCCGAGCCTGGGCTCGGGCCCGAAATTTAGCCTATACTATTATTATTATTATTATTAATGTTGAAGCAGCTGAATAGAGAGAGAAATAGATTGAAATTATAAAGAAAAGAAGAATATATATATATATATAGTAAATTATAAATATATATTTTAATAAATATTATATTATTTATATATTTTATATAATATATAAAATACATATTATATATTTTATAAAATATATCATATTGAGTCGGGCCAGGCCGGGCTCAGGCCGGGCTTTTTTGACAAATCCCGAGCCCGGCCCGAAACATAGTCGGGCTTACTGTGTTAAGCCCGAGGTCAGGCCTGCGGGCCTAATTATATGTCCAAGCCCGACCGGGGTGCAGGCCAGGCTGGGCCGGGCCGTCGGGCTACCCGGCCCATGAACAGGTCTACTGGTTAGTGATGGGACACCTAGACATAATAAAGATAAATAAAACATAAAACAGGTTTAGGCCCATTAACAAAGGCCTATAAAAGACTAAGAAACTTAAACATAAGAGTTAAACTAAACCCATTAACACTTAACCACTCAAACCAACACTCCCCCTCAAGCTAAGCATGGATGTCAGCCATGTTTAGTTTGCCAAGTAAGCCTAAGAACTTCACTGAAGATAGTCCTTTTGTCAAGACATCTGCAACCTGCATCTCAGAAGGAGTATAAGGAATGCAAAGTTCACCCGAGACAATCCTCTCTCTAACAAAGTGTCAGTCAATCTTAATATGCTTAGTCCTATCATGTTGCACTGGGTTATTTGCAATGTTGATGGTAGCCTTGTCATAATACAACTTGAGAGGACACTTAACCTTTATCCCGAGCTCACCAAGGAGAGTCCTAAGCCACAATAGTTCAGCAACACCATGAGCCATAGCCTGATATTCTGCTTTTGAACTTGATCTAGCTACTACATTCTGTTTTTTACTTCACCATGTAACCAAATTCCCTGCAACAAATGTGCAATATGTTAGACAGTTATGCCCTTAGCTCCAATCAGATTGATGTATCTTTTGACATTTATTGTAAATGAATAAAGTACATAATTGATTCATGTCATTGTGGTGTGTTTCTGTGTAATACCCTTAAACTGGACACTTATGAGACTCGTGTTACTTTAGAATCTTCACAACCGTTAGATAGATTTGGGGAGATTTATTCTACCAAGGCTGGCATTGATGTACCGCCAAGTTGGTTGGGGTGGCTTGTCTCAACTACCAAGGTGAGACCTGAAGTACATGTAGTGTGGATTTTCTTGAAACCCTGAACTAGATCAAAATTACAGTATTGCCCTAGACCTTGGAGATAGATGGGCAAAACTAAAATGTTACACCTGACCCCTAGACTCGATTATGGTACTACACTAGGTGTTGGATCGGCTTGTCTTTGATATGCCAATCAGTGAGATCCTTAGAGGGGGTCAAAACCT